CATTATCTAGACCATCCATTTTCAAGATTTTCAAGTGTTTATAGATCGGCTTGATCATCACTATTTTTAGAACTTTAAATTTCATAGTTGGGGGAAACAATAGATTTTTATGTTGGCCTTGCAGCACCAAAACTGTATTTTCGGCATATTTTGGATGTGCACTTACTTCAAAGGTATAAGGTTAACACATTATGCAAACCTCACATTTTTCTTAATGAAGGACACGGTTTCTATGCAGCCAACCAACATATTGTAGAAATGCAGGTTTGGCAATAAATATATTTTTTAAAAATATAATTTGATCTTAATTTTTAGAGAATATATAATCTTTAACGTGGAGATCGTGAATTTGAGTTTTTTTTTTAAAAAAACTAAAAATAATAGTTATATTAAAAAAACATTTAGACCGTTAGTTACATTTGTTTTCAGATGGACCACCAATTTGCGTCCATCTGGACCACATATTGAAGAAGTGCGGTCCATCCCGCATGAAACAATTTTCCTTTTATAAATGGTCCTTCTATTTTTTACCAGTTCCAAAACTACATAAAGTCTTTTTCCCGGCTAGCAGGCAAAATTCCAAAGCGAGCGAGAGAGTGAGAAGAGAGAGAGAGAGCAGTATATACACCCGACAGATTTTAGAAAGGTAGCATAAATATGTGGTTCCACTTTCACAAAACAAAAAGGTTCATCTTATCACTAATTCCAGCAGCTTGCAAACCATTATAAACAAGGAATACCCATTTATAGTAACAATATGGGAGTTTTTTTTTTTTGGGGTAATTTAGTTGGAGAAGACATGCCTCAACCCGTTTTTTCAATAGATTAGGGAGTTTTTTGTGGTAATTTAGTGGGGAAGACAGGCCCTAATCGTTTTTTCCAATAGATTGGGGAGTTAGAGAATACCCATTCATGATTTTTTGGGGAGTTACATTTTGAAGGTTTGTGGGGATGCTACAACCACGACCCCAGCCCTTTTTCTATAATATGGGAGTCTTGGAAAGCAAAAATAGGATAACCAAATGAAGTATTTACTGCTATTACAGATTAGGTGATTCAAATAATCTCAACAATTCTCTTCAATGCAGAGTTAGAGAAACAATTGACAGACTTGATCGGCCCATTAGTGGACTTGACAAATTTTTTGCACACCTTACTCTAACAACAGCTAGGCCATAATGGATTAGAATGAACAACGGTGTCATTTACAAATAGAAGGAATCCATTATGGATGAACTTCTTAAATATTTGTGTCAAAAATTTCAAAATCTTATGACCTCCCCATAGTTCCCATAGGGAGAGACACCTTGAAGACAACCATCGAGCTGTTTGGGAAATGATTGTCCTATATCAAGTAGATTCAATAATCACTCTAAGAGGCACAAAAACTTGGGTTTTTATTTGATTCGTTTGGGATGGTTGTATATCTTTTACAAAAGCAAGTAATAACAATTCACTCACCATAAACTCTGTAATGCAAAAGAACCTCAAGGCTAAATAACAACTTCACTGCACAATTAATTAAAACCAAAAAAACTGAATCATCGAAGTTGAACCCTATGCCCTAAGCCAAGCAGGCTCTTGACATGGCATATTTATTGGGACATGCACAAGGTATTCCCCTACAGAGTCTTGGAAAAGCCAATGCTTGGTCTGATTTTGAAACAGCCACCAGAGCAGAAAAATAAAAACTGCCACAAACATAGTGCCTCAAATAATGAACTCAACTTTCAAGAGAAGCTTACTTCGATGATAAACACGGTTATAGAGAGAAATATATGTCAATTTTGATGACATTTTTGTAAATTGAATTTAGAAGTTTCCTTCAAGTAGAAGTGCTTTTGGATTTTATATGGTATGGAATGTACACCCTTCAAAATTTAATATCCATCTACATATTTGCAATCCTCCATCCTATAATGCTCAATGCACTCCATTCTGCAGTGTATTACCTTTGTGATTTTGGTAATAATATGCTAAACACCATATCCGGTGAATATCAATGACCGCCATTGTCAGATAATTTATTTTCAGCTTTGCTAGTATTTACATTCATTGTGAACTCATACAAGATTGATGCACCCTTTATGCTGTGTATGTCACTCGATCATCTTCATCCCAAGGATTACCAAATTGCACCCCCACCTCTGTCCTTACCACTACAGTCCTCTTATGGCTAGTTTGTAGCTGTTTTATAGTGACATCCTTTCCAATGGGGGGTAGTCCATCACTCGTGACATATACATAAACCATATAGCTCATCTTTGCACAGAAACTCCTTACTCAGATAGATATTTATGCACACATTGATCTAAACTTCTAATCAAATAATTACTTAGATCATTTAATTACAAGATGTACTAGGTTTGCCATTACAAGCTAGGATAAAGAAGTTCGAACTGTTCTAAAAAGTAACCATACGATTTAAAGAAGCATATGATGTAGGGATAGAAGGTAACGTATATATAAAACCACAGCTGACACATATGGGCAAACTAAATTTGTAGTAAATTGTTCAACTTTCCGAGGATTAGAAGGCTACTACAGTTGCCTATGCCACAAGCCAAAGCATCTCAATATTTCGAAACTGTTTAGGACTAAAGCTGCAAAAGTGATAAATAGCAATCTAGAGCAGAAGTTGTCGTACTATAATACCTAAGGATGCAGAAATAGATTTCCCTCTAGAAAGGTCTTCTATATACTTCAATAAAGATGACCAATCCAAATTACATCTCATGTGATATTTTGGTAAAAGGAAAAAGATAGAGAGAGGTATATGACTCATGCTTTCAGTATCTTAAAAAAAAAGACTACTTTTGATATCTTGGGTCGATAATTCAGAAGAATAGAGAGATTGAGGAAGATGTTGCACACAAAATTACAGTTGGGTGAGCAAAGGGGAAATGTGCAACTGGAATTTTATGTTATCGCCACATACCAATGAAGCTGAAGAGCAAGTTTTATTGGACAGTTGTGAGACCAGCATTGCTCTATAGAATGTTGGGCAGACAAAAAACAAAATACCCATAGATGAGTGTATCGGAGATGAGGATGTTGAGATGGATGAGTGGCAAGACAATGACTAGAATTAGAAATGAATTCATTTTGGAGAATTTGGGTGTGGCACCAATAGGCAATAAGACGAGAGAGAGTATACTTAGGTTGGCTAGCCATATGTGGCGCTAACCAAGTATATCACCTCTTAGAAGGTGCAAGTTAGTTCAAGTGGAAGGACTAAAGAGAGCAAGTAGTAGACCCAAAAAGACGTGATTGAAAGTAGTACGAAAATATATAGGGACTTATGACTTTATTGAGGTTACGTATTTAATAGAGCAGAATGGCGGACTAGGATTAGTGTAGCCGACCACAATTAATTGAAAAAAAGCTATGATGATGATGATGATGATGATGATGATATGTGGGTCAGATAGCCTTTGTCATGGCCAGTCCTCGGATGAGAAAGTAGGGTTGTGTTAGGTTGGCAACCAAACTTTTGCCCCATCTCTATATGAATTAGTCGACCCCAAATAGTTGGGATAAGACTCAAATAATGATGATGCTAATTGGATGATGATCTTTTTTTTTTTGAGTTCCAATAAAGTAAAAAGATGCAAATAATAGGTAAAAGTTACCCCCTTTCTCTCTTATGGACGAGGGGCCTATTCTTTCTTCGTCATGATATCACCTTTCTGCAGTCCCACAAAAAGGCCAGCGTTTGGCAGAGGACAGTAGCTTACACCTCATATTTATGAGTTTATGGGCACATCCCCCCTTGAAAGAATGCAATATAATAGACACCGTACCATTAGACTAAAGAGCAAGTCTAAATCCAATAGATCTCAGATGCATGCCTATCTTAATATTTTGTATGTCATCCCTTTTGCAATTGTTACGACTTACAAGATAGGCAATTTCAAAAGTTTTAGAACTAAGTAATTGTTAATGACAAAATAAGGTAAAGAGAAACCATTGGAAAGGATCACGATAGTTTGAAACCCAGTACATGCGCCTTGGAATGTGGGTGGATATCATCGGAACCCCTTAATTATATAATCAGTGAGAATATTAGGCACTAGGAGTTCAGGGATTACAATGCCATAAACCAACAAAATAAAATCTTGTAAAACATGTCCATGGACAACAAAAAGTAGGTCTCACGAAAAGAATCACAATTGCAAGTCATCAAATGTCATCTGATCTGTCGAGGTAAGTCCAGATTTTATACAGGAAAAATACACATTATACAATGTAGCAGCGGATTATGGTGATTTAGTGTGGTGAGAATGAGACCTATATAGCTACAGAACATCACATAAGTATAATGTTACATCACTCTGGTATTTCAGTTAACAAGAAAGTTCAAAAGTGACAAATACATATTCATTGGTACCTTTCACCTGTCTTATAGAAGCACTATATTGGAGAATTGACCGAGAATTGTACTGTTTTATTGCCTGCTTATAAGGTTAATACATGAATCATCTACAATAAGTTGGTCATAGGAGACAAACAGCAGATCTATCCAGTCACTGCCCTACTCATTTTCGATGAAAATAACTTCCCAAGTTTTCAGTGTGTACCCTTCAATTTGCACCATGGACTACTTATTTTCATATAAATTTTACAATGTTTTCTCAACATTCTTTCTTCCAATTTTCCAGCATTCTCTTTGAATCTTAGGCATCAGATCTACGCGATTGCACTGATTTTCATATGTATTTTCAGAAATCTTCCCTAGCATTACATGTTCTTGAACTTTATCATTAATCTATTGAATCTCAAGTATCTAATCAAATGGCATTTCCATTTCAAACTAAGCCAAGAACATTTTTCAGGTCTTCAAATAAGGCCTTCCCTTTGCATATTGAACACATAAACCTCGTGAAAATAAATCCCAAAAACAACTCAAATCTTGAAATTTAAGAACAGCAACATGAATATAGGTACAAAGAATCACATTCTCCACATCATTCCTATCAAATAAAATATGCAGAAAAAACTTCAATAAGAAAATGCACATCAGGATTTTCATTTCAAATAAACTTTAGAACATTTCATTTCAAAGAAAAAGAAAGTTGGCTTTTCGGCCAAGAAAAAAAGAAAAGAAAAAAACCCACAACGAAATGTATTGACAAGTTCATTGCATTACTTTGCAAAAGTCCTCATAAGCAACTGCTCGTAAAACCCTTCCCTCATAAATACCCTTCTCAATCTGCACCTTTGCACAGTAATTCTCTTTGTCTATTGAAACCAAACGAGCATTTGAGCCGCGATAAGCTCCATTAACAATCCTTACAAGACCCCCAATTTGGGGTATCACAGTCTCTAACTCCTCTTGGTCCACTCTAAGAACATGGCCACTATCAAGCATCTTGATTTCACCAACATATTTGTCCACAACCTTTATAACAACCCCCTTCTGTTTATAATACCCCTTCTCAGCCAAAGCTTTGCTCATAACCTTCACAATAATTCCTTCACATAGCCAGTAATCTTTCCTGTTCAATTTCTCCTTAGCTTTCTCTTGCTCTTTCATCAAATCAGCAAGAACAGATCCTTTTGATGGTTCAGGTCTATTTTTAGTAGATTTTTTCTCTGGTACATCCTCTTCAGACAATGGTCCCAAAACATTGTTTGGCTTGGAGCTCTCCCCATTCCCGCCACTCCCAAGAGAAAATGCCACCTTTCCATCACCAGATGGCTTCTCCTCTCTTTGCAATTTTAGAGTTTCATTCGGTTCTTGGGATTTAGGAATGAACTGCTCAGCCCTTTCAATCTGCTTCATAATTTCTCTCTCTTGCTTCTCTTCCTCTGCTGCATCAGATCTAAGCCTCTTGTTTTTGAGCCTCTCCTTGAACAATGTCTCCGAGTCTCTATCAATATAGGTCATGAACCAGCCCTTTGGGGTCTCTTCAACCTTACATTGACCAGTTCTTCCAAGGTATTTGACAAACTCAGTTAGAGTTGCCCACTGTGTTGAATTCATGTGAATATGGTGTCGATCTGCTATGTACTCATTGTACACCACGGTTGCAGCAACTCTGCTAAAACGGTGGGAGCGACGCATATGCTCCATGAACGCTCTCTCAAACTCCTCTGAATACCCATCGACAATTCGATTTGGGTTCTGGCCAAAGACCTGCATTTGGCGTTGGTGACTCTCGCTCATGCAATGGCACTTGAAGCCATTTTCATCTCTACATTGCTTCTGACACATCTGGCAATACCAGCGAAGCTTTTGGAGGCCTTTGGCTTTGATCCTGTTGGCAATGGCCTTAGGAGTGAGGAAGTCATTTTTACCCATTAGAGACTATAGCTGTGGTCACGACACCAAAGACACCTGAAATTCAGAAACACATATAAAGGAGGGTTTCAAGAATGAAAAAAAAAACAACTACGATAAACAAGGGGAAATGGACAACCCAATACTTTGATACAATACTTTACATTAGCTCCCAAGGTATTCTAATGATAGTCGATGAGACAGTGGTATAGTATCTAAAATGGATCAATCAAATATGCATTTGTGATTTTTAGTGAAGAATGGATGGAGAAAGTGATTTTTGATACTAATTTCGTGATACTAATTTCGATATTTTGATACTAATTGCATTTTGTTCTATTTTTGCACTTTTTTATACTAATTGTGATTTTTATAAATGCTTCTCTCTCTCTCTCTATATATATATATATATCTCTCTTTCTCTCTCGCACACACACAGGCACACAAAATTGAACTCAAATCCATTTTAATAAATAGTCATCATATACATAGTGAATTCTACAATCTTTTAAACATGTTTTATAAGTAAATAGTGTTGCCAATAGCTTCCATTAGAACTTAATCACATCAACATATCCCACCATTTTTTGTTTCAGATGGATCTCAACTTCATGGGTGTCTAATCTAATGAGGAACATATGGCGCAGCTGAATTGTAAGCAAGTCACACGGAAAGCTATCAATTACTCATCGATAACCTAAATTCACAATGAATTTAAACAGAAACTAAACAGCTACAACGATGGCTGCAGTGTATCTATATATTCAGTTTAAAGTGGTAATTATCTTGAAAATATTCACATTACTGCTCTCTGCATCATTGAAATTTTCCAAATTTCGAGTAAATATTGCCATCACCCAATCAACTAACTTCCCTTCACATTGGTAAAATAACGTCATGGAAAAATATTTATGCAAATAGCACCTAACGCCAACAAAACTGGATACAATTCAATGTAAACCACGCCCTCCCAAAATTAATCTCAATAAACCAACAAACCATACAAGAATCACACATTCACATTATAAAATCCTTCCGATAACTCTTATTAATGTTCATAACCCATAAAAATGCAATCACAAATCAAAACCCCAAATAACGACCCTAGAAAACTTTAAATGAAGCCTAGACAAACCCCTAAAGAATTGTTCATCTTCCATTGATAAACCAATATAGAAAGACAAAACACAATTAACACCAAGAGGGAGTCAAAAGCCTAATTAACCGGGCAACGAGAAAACTACAAGGAGAAAGAGACATTGAAACAGGTATGATATGGCCATGGAAGAAGGTAAAGAGATTGGTTTGGACAACTGACCTGTTTGTTAAGAGACGATGATCTTTCTAGGGTTTCCTCGATGGTGATCCTGAACGAGGGGCTTCAATTTGCAGAAAGATTATAAAAGCAAAAATTACAAAAAACCCCCAAGACGACACCTTCTATGCAACTTACCCCGAACTTAATTTCTCTCTCACTTTTTCCCCACAACAAACTTTTTGTGGAAATACCCCCAGGGGAAAAAGTTTATTTTTTTAGACAGAAATGCCTTTTCCGTACATAAAAATCACTTTGACCAGATTTGACGTTGACTTTTGGACCTCGTAGAAGCGCACCATCACATTGCCCGAGCGCACAATGCCGGACCGCTCTAAGACAACTATCGGACTGAAACTGATTACTGTCGGACCGCCCTTTACATAGTGTCGGAGTCTTGTAATCCAATAACATCTACTATCGGGCCGCCCTTTGCAACTGCTGGACCGCCATTTGCAATTGCCGAACTGCACTTTACACAGTACTGGAGCCCTACTGTCATGCCGGAGCTCTACTGCGGAACAAAAGTGAGAGAAATGGCTAAGTTGAGTAAGTTGCATAGCATGTTCATCTTGGGAGTTTCTTGTAATTTTCCCATTATAAAAAATACACACCGAGAAAATCAGTCACGGCTATTTCCGTTCTCTATGGGCCTGTTTGATAACTGGAAGCAAGTTCATGAACTGTAAATTGGAAGTTCCTCCTTGCTGGGAAGATATAAGTTATTGTAAGAAGTTCCTGGAATATGTGTTTGATAACCTCCTGGGAAGTTAAAGAAGTTTATGGTTTCAGTGTTTGATAACCTCCTAGGAAGTTAAAGAAGTTCTTGGGTCTACAGGGTTCCATTGGCTCATATTGTTATCGTAATCTTTAACAGTTATAATAAAGCCTCGTTAGGTTGATTTCTTTAAACTAGATGGCACTAAATATTAAGCATAAATAAATAATAAAAAGTACAAGGCATTATAGCTTAAACATAAATAAAGAAAATGCAGAGAAAGCTAGAACAAAGTACCACAATGAATTTTAGTAATCATTGGAAGCTCACAATTCAATAACCAAGTTCTACAATAACGAGAATGCAGATCTATATCGAGAAACAACCCAAAAAATTGTCATATAGAGCTTAAGGAAACTCAATGCATTGAATATGCCAAAACTGTACAAAGTAAAACCATCATAGAATTCAACATAAAAGATCAGAATAAGAATGGATTAACCACAATCCAACATGCTGAACTGTTTAGCATTTAGCACACAAAAGGTTCCCAAGGATGCAAAAAAAAGACAATGTTGGAAATGTACATACTCAACTAGAAACATAACCACCCTGTACTATTAAACCATAAATAAAGCATAACAAAAGAGAGCATAATAACAGAAATCTAATCTAATCCTATAAAAGAAAGCAAGTTAATTAGTAAGGGCCTATTCTTCAAGCATAGGTTTCTCTAAGTTCAAGTTATCTATAATTCAAATTCACATTCATAAAAACCCAAGCAAAAGGTGCATAGAATATGGCAGGTATACACAATCAGTAAGGAGGTAAATGGGCAATGAATAGACTGAGAGCATAGAAATAGATATCTCATATAAGAAGAGACCCAAGGTCTCATCTGCGGTTAAAGCAATGTCTTCCATTATAAGCCATCCCATATGAAATGTCATAATCAGAATATTGTCATCAAGTTCATCCCCAGCTAATGCTCTCTCTCTCTCTCTCTACACCCACATGTTGCATGAAAACATCTCACCTGATAACTTCACCTTCCCCTTAATGACTAAATCATTGCAGCCAATCTTATTGTTTCTTTCAAACCAAATACAGCCGAAGATCCTTACAGTAAATAATAGATAGGATGCTAATATTCATGATAGAGTATTGCCAAAATTTGCAGCATAATAAAGAAAACCTTTTCAATAACTCAGCAATAATTTTCTAAAGGGCATTGAAAAGGTTAATGGATAAATTGAATTGTCATCCAAACGACATCTGAGCAATTTCTCAAATAACAATGTGACATGGATTAGTTAAACAGAAATACAGAAAAAATGACAAACAACATTTTAATTATCCATGAAAGTAAAGTTGATCACTTCGGAAATCAGTGTTCAATAAGAGCACTGAAACTAACTCCTCATTCATTATGAACCCGAAACCACCTTCCAATTTCCAAACATGACTACGACCATTCCTAGAAACTAAAGTTTCTTGATAGAAATCCTACAAAACTAAAACCAATAATACTCATTTGATGCGAATAGTCTCTGAAAAATAGCATATGGGTGTCAAATTTCTTCTCTCTCTCGGTGTCATGGCATGGACAATAGTCCCTATGCTTGGTATCACAGAACTCGAAGAAGTTGGGAATGGTGGTCTCATAGTCAAATAGGTTGGGAGCGAACGGTCGGAGTGGTGGTGTTCAAAGTCCATAAAGGGTCCAGATTGGTGAAGAGTAAAGATCCAGCCTTACCCCATTACCAAAACAATCTGCAGTTGAATTGGAGAATGAGTTTAGGAGAAGAGAATATGGTTTTTTGTGGAGATTTGAACTAAACAAGCTGAAGAAGAGGTAGAGGAGAGAGATACAGGAAAATTATCCAAGCTAATCAAAACTACTTTTTTGACGGATTACCCAAGCTAATCTGAAAATCTGAACCAAGTAAGTCGTTTTTTTTTTTTTCTAATCCTCTTTTTCAAATGAACTATGTTTGGAGTGGCTTCTCGAAATAATATTCGATTTGGAGCTCCAAAAGATTTAAATCTTTTGCATTTGTCCAAAATTGAGTTTGAGGGTTGAGAATTCTTGGAGCTTTAATTCAAATTTTTTCAAATTTTTATGGTATTGTTTCCATAATAAAAACAATATAACAAATTTTAAGGTTGCATGAACTAGGGTGATGCTAACGTAGCGATCTCACAGTGAATCAAGCTAATCAAAATTACAGCAGTCTGGAATGAAGTATACTGATTCCAACAAGAACCCAAACTATCAAATGATTGTGCATCCATATTCTTATCATGCAGACAACCTACAAGCTCTCTAATATCTTATCATGCACACAACCAACAAGCACTCTAATACGGATAGATTGTCAGGGAACTTGATGTCAAGCACTCAAAACAATCAGTTAACCCTGAATTTAGATTTACAACATAGAAAAATCACGAAATAAAGCTTTTGCATTGCTTTAGAACTCAATTTACAACATGGAAACCATTAAACCAATTTAATACAACATTCAACATAGGAAATTATACAAAAATAAGTAGATTTAACCCTAGAAATGCTTTTCTAGGGTTTCCTCCAAATAAAACCTGAGAACAATGTTGTTAACAGAGAAATCCGAAATTAGCAAGAAAAAAGAAGGAAAAAATGCAAAATCAACACAGAACTCACTGATTGGAGGTACTTGTTGAGGTTGCAAGGCCGCAAATAGTACTGGGCGAGACGCTTACTTTACTGGGAAGAAAGAGCGAGAGAAAACTTTTGCAGTGGAGCTGCTGTTTTGCTGAGCGGCTAATTGCGAAGTGAGGGGTGGCTGAGCGGCTATGTAAACCCTAGGGCACAATTTTATCGGGGGGAAGTTTTGATATAAACTTCCCTTTTCAAGTTCCGACCTCTTGATCGGAAATTTTTTTACATACAAAACAAAGGTGGGAACATGATAGGTAAGTTCGTTATTACCTTATCCTTTTTTTATCAAACACAGAAGATAGAGTTCTAACTTCCAGGAACGAGAAGATAAACACAGAAGATAAAGTTCTAACGTTATCGCCTTAGTTTTTATTGTGAGGTTTCCATTCCATCATCTTACGAGAAGCTTGTGTTGCAGAATTACGAAGAGCCCAATAATATACCCTTTATACTAAGGCGACAACGTTACTATTTAATAGAACCTCTAAAGACTTATTTCATTCAACATGTACGATATGGAAATTTTGAGTTTGTTATTAATATATATATTACAGGATTTTTCTTGATTGTGTTATTAAAAAAAGATGCCGTTTGTATGGTGCCTAAGCTTTAACCACTCAAATTAGAACCTACCTTCAAATAGTACCGAAAAATGTGGTTTCAATATTGGAAATCTTTGTAATAGTCGTTTCAAAAATAGTATAGATGGACATATCTATGAAAACTTAAAAAACTTGAAAATTAATCATCCAAAAACACATTACAAAATACACTACTTCTAAAACTTAAAATCCATTTTTTTCTCATATCCATGCATCTTGATGTTGAGATGATCAATTTGAGAATATTCGGCATCGAAACAACCTTTTCTATTGAAATTTTTAAGGTGGGCTCTAATTTGATTGTTTAGAGTCTCAACTCTATATAAACTTTTCCCTTAGATTGTTTAGAGCCTTAGCTCTATATAAACTTTTCCCTTAAAAAAAAACAGTATACGATAAGGGACACGGTTTCTATGTAGCCAACCCACACATTGTAGAAATATGGGCTCGGCAATAAATATATATTTTAAATATAATTTGATTCAAAATTTTAAAGAATATATAATCTTTAACATGAAGATCATGAATATGAAAAAAGCAATTTTGTCAGGATCGCATTGGTGACCGAATCAGGTACCAATCCAATTGGATTAGTTGAACAAGATCGGTCTACTAGTCGGACCGGTTTAAGAAATCAAATAAAATGGCGAAATTATGAAAAAAAAAAAAAAAGAGGAGAAAAAAATAGAAAAATAAAGAATTCAAAAAACAAAAAAAATTCACTATTTTTATTTTCTATTTCTATTTTTCCTTTTTCTCTTTGTTGTATTCTCTATTTTTCTTTTTTGCATTTTCCATAAGGAAATTGTGACAAAAATAACAAAACAAAAAACAAAAAAATGTCCTAAGCATATTTTTGTTATTTTTAAAATGTATTTTATACATTGCAAACTTAAAATACAACAAAAATTTGCACCAAATAAATTTCTTTCAGTTTGGTTTTTCAGATTCGCCTATTAAGGACTTTTACAAGTTTTTTACAAATATCATAAAAGCCCTTGTACAAATAATTTTTTGAGAGGCTTTTGCAAATTGTGAAAGTCCTACAAAATAACATAAAAGTGCAACCAATAATAAAAAAAATCCAATCCACAACTATAAAACCCCAATTTCCTAAACGCCAACGTAGCAAACACATAATTTTAATTTTTGATTATTTTTTTTTAATTTCAGGTAGAAGGATAAAAAAGAGCAAAGCGTAAGCCGAAAAAGATATAGTTGGAAGTAGTGAGAAAAGATGTGGAGGCTTATAGCCTCACTAAGAATATGACACTTAATAAAGTAAAATGAGAGATCAGGATTCGTGTAGCCAACCCCAATTAGTTAGCAAAAAAGCTCTGACGATGATGATTGAAATTTTTAAAATATAATACTAAACATTAAAACATATTAAAAAAACTTACCTAATGGTTGGAATCTCACCAAAATCCCATTGCATGCTTAGCCGTTTGAGAGTCGAGAGAGAATCAAATAAAAGTATATAAAACTCTTTCTCTGTTTCTCTTTTATAAGGCCTTCACACTTAAGTTTTAAATTTTTCTATTTTACTTTTATCAGTGGCATGTGTGCAACACGCGCCCTCACCTTATTAAGGTTTTATGTACATATATCATCATATCATTACCTTACCCCAATTATTTGAGGTTGGCTATACAAATTTTGTTATGCCATTTTATCCTATCAAGGGTTATATCCTCAATCAGATCAACAGTCATCATCATGTCTCTTCTTACTACTTCTATCTATATCTTTTTGGGATTTACCTTTACTCTTTTAGAGCCTTTAACCTTAATCAAATCGCGTCTCTTAATAGGTGCTATAATAAGCCTACTCTGTACATGTTCGACCCATCTAAATCTATTTTTGTTCATCTTATAGTCTATTAGAGGTACCCTCAGGTCTCTTATATATATTTATTTCGAATTCTATATTTTCTTGTCGTACAACTCATCTATCTCAATATCATCGTCTCAGCTACACCCATCCTATTAATATATTGTTTCATGACTACCCAACAATTCGTCTTATGAAAGTACAGCCGGTCTTCATAGTTTTATAAATGTACATAGATATCAAAATAAAAAAAATGGCTTTTTTTTCTACTTGTAAATAATTGTTTAGAACTAAAAAGGATTTTTTAGTATAAATTTATTGAACTGGGAAATTTGACAATATTTTTTACTCTAATTGATTATGAAATGCAATGGATCCTAGCTTTTGTGCAAGAGCTACATTTTGAAGTGTACAATGGACTGGCTTTTGTGATGAGTCTCCCTTGTAAGGCTAGGATGCACCATTGTGGTCCAAGGCACCTTTGAATCTGTGGTGCGAGAGGGAACGAAGGGTAGTGAAAAAGAGAGACTAGTGCACCATAGCTCTCTCTCTCTCTCACCCGTGTATCTAGAGCTTTTGAATTTTGTTGGGTGTGGCCTTGTTACTTGGCTAAGAGAGAACCATGTAAATAAGGGCACTTTGATCACAAAAAAACTGGGGTAGTCTTGGTAGAGAATATGTTATTGGTTATTCCAAATTAAATTATAACATAGAGAAACCCCTCACTCCCAATAGCAATATTGTGGGAATATGTTTTTTTCTCTTATGGTTGTGTGCTGGAGGTGACTTGCAGGATAAAAGTTGAAGAAATCTATCTAGAAATTATCAGGTTTCTAAATGTTTGAACAAGGAATCAACCTTTTTGTTTTATTCTTTTGAGCCAGTGAAGAATAACATTCAGAAAACTAAGTGAGGTTCCTTGCGGATTATTTTTTAGCTAACTTAACTGTAAAATATTTCCCAGGAAAGGATATTTTTCAGGTGATCATTATCATTTTATCAACATATGAAAAATTATTTTTATATTAATTTAAAATAATAAAAATAGACATCTAGGGATAAATTAGTTAAAGAAAAAAAATAGAACTTCGAATTTGAGGTTAATGCTATGTAGAAATGAGACTAGAGGGAACAAAAATCCCAATAATGAAACTTGGTGGTGATGTGATGAGATTCAAAATGCCTAATAACAAATAATCATGTTATAAAACTAGGCGATGTAATATAAATAATTAAAATTTAGAAAAATATAAAAATGCTAAGAAACATGCTAAACAAATAGTAAGGTTAAACTTAAGGCATATAATAACCTATATAGTAAACTAGGAATGAGAAAAGATTAAAAAGATATCTTTAAATTAACAAACTTGAGTGAGTGAGAGAGAGAGAGAGAGAGAAAGAGAGAGAGTATAGGGATCTTGACCATATTAAATGCTTTAAAAGTAATGATAAAGGGCCTTGGTGAAGGATGAATAGGTTGATGAAAGGCACATAGTTTATTTTCAAAAATTATCAAATAACAATAACAATGGGGAACACAACATTAGAAAGAACCGTTGGCATAAGCGAGAGCGGTATACATTCATAGGATCAGGATGTTGAAAGTGAAAGAAACTTTGAAGATGATGAAGATAGGAAGGACTTATGACCAATTGGTATCTCAATAGAGGTTTGGAAGTGCATGGGAGAGATCGGCATGATTGGCTGACTAAGGTGTTCAACAAGATGTTAAGAACAAAGAAAATGAGAGGTAAATGGAGGAAAAATATTGTTGTACTTATTTACAAGATAAATGAAACATATAGAATTATTCGAACTATCAATTGATCAAACTTAAGAGCTATCCTATGAAGTTATGGGAAAAAATGATTGAGCAACGACTAAGTCATAAAATAAGTATCTAATTCGGTTTTATGTCATGGAGGTAAATAATTGATGTTATTTTCCTTCTTAAAAAATTGATTCAGAAATTTAGGGCGAAGGGAAAAGATCTGTATATGGTCTTTATTGATGTAGAAAAAACTTATGATAAAATACCTCGATATTTATTTTAGTGGGTGTTGGAAAAGAAAAGAATCTCCAAATACTTTAGGACTTGATGAGAGATATACACAAGGGAGCGCTAACTAGTATACAAACTATTAGTGAAGAGATGAGTGACTCTTCAGTGACAACTGGTCCACATCAGGGGTTAGCATTGTGCCCATGCCCCTTTATCTTTGTTGTGGATGACTTAACTTGACACCTACAAGATGAGGTATTGTGGTTATGTTGTTCACAGACAGCATAGTTTTGATTGATGAGACTCGAAGTGGCGTCAACACAAAGTTATAACTGTGGAGGGATGCTCTAGAATTTAAAAGTTCAAAAATTAGTTCTACTAAGACAGAGTATGTGCAATGCAAGTTTAGAGGTGTAGAGACAAAGAAGTAGTTAAGATTGATAGCCAAGAAATACCAAGAAGAGTGCACTTTCGATATCTTGGGCTGATACTCCAGAAAAGTGGAGAGATTAAGGAAGATGTCGCCCATAAAATTAGAACTGGGTGGGTGATGTAGAGATATACAACTGATGTTTTATGTGATCATTACATTCTAATGAAACTAAAGGAGAAGTTTTAGAGGATAACTGTGAGACCAATGTTGCATTATATGGTAGAATGTTTGGTGGTTAAGAAACAACATATATATATAAGATGAGTGTAGTCGAGATGAAGATAAGACAAGACAAAAAATGATAGAATTCTAAATGAATACATTTAGAAGAACTTACATCTAGCCGATAAAATGTGAGTAAGTAGATTTAAGTGGGTTGGACATGTGCAACATAGACCCAATATAGCACCTGTTAGGAAGTGCTAGTTGGTTCAAGTAAAATGTTCAAAAAGAACAAGGGGTATGTCCAAAAAGATATTATTGGATGCAGTGAGAAAATATATGGGGACTTATGACCTCCTGAGGGTATGACCCTTAAAAGAGTAGAATGACGGTTTAGGATTCGTGTAACAGACCTT